GGAGAGCGGGATCCAAAATTACACAGCATGGTTTTAAGGTGACAGGGGAAAGATTTGAAAAGGACCTGAGGGTAACTTTTCATGCAGAGGGTGGTGTGTATATGGAATGAGCTGCCAGAGGAAGTGGAGGAGGCTGGTACAGTTACAACATTTAAAAGGCATCTGGATGGGTATATGAATAGGAAGGGTGTGGAGGGACATGGGACTAGTTCAGTTTAGGAAACTTGGTCGGCACAGATGAGGCGGACCGAAGGGTCTGTTTCCATGCTGTATGACTTTATGAGTCTATGTAATCGTACCAATCCAAGAAGCAGCTATTTAAATGGAACAAGGCAGAACTGCATCATTTTTCACTCTAAGCTGTTGTATAAATGCAAGTGGCTTTTCCTGAACCGTTCAGATTCATGGATTTGTCCCTGTCAGAGTATTTAGCTGTATGATTATAAGGTGTAGAGTACATAGATAAAGATCTCATTTGTGGAAATTACAACAGCAATTGGAAATTTAAGGGGAGGCAATGGCTTAGTAGTATTATTGCTGGACTGTTCATCCAGAGGCCTAGGTAAAGTCCTGGGGATCTGGGTTCAAATCCCACCAGGGCAGACGGTGGAATTTGAATTCAATAAAAATCTGGAATTAAGAGTCTAATGACAACCATGAAACCATTGTCAATTGTTGGAAAAACTCGGCTGGTTCACAACTCTCCTTTGGGCAAGGAAGCTGCCATCCTTACCTGGTCTGGCCTACATGTGACTCCAGACCCACAGCAACATGGTTGACTCTTAACTGCCCTCTGGGCAATAAATGCTGGTGTATTCAGCAATGAACGAATGAAAAAAAAATTTCCTGTTCTCATATTAAGAGAATCAGGCAGCGAATATGTAGAAGGTGCAATAGTACCTCAGTAAAATTAGTTCTAGTCACACAGGAAAACAAAAAATCATGAAAAGAAGTAAATCTCAACTCAATTTATGTAGCACCAATGGAAAAACAAACTGAGTAACTAAGAGGCCCATATTCCCAACACCTTACCTTTAAAAGCTCCACAAGTCTGCATAAAGCTTTCACTGATGTTTTGGTCATGGGTTTCTGCATTGACATGTAAAGATTCATTGTGGTTCGGATAATATTACTGAGGCTGTTTGCATACAGAATACCCTAAAAATTATTAAAAAATGTTAATTAAAAGTTGGTCTTTTACAAACATGTTTTGTGTGTGTGTAAAACACTGAATTAATTTATATTCAACTGCAGGCTATGTCGATTGAAATCCACAAGCAAAACAGGCCCAAAATCTGTTGCAGTGGGGCATTTCGTGGCATGCCTAGTAAGACAGATTTTTCTGCTATCTTCAGTATAAAATATTTTGCTCTCTGTTGTTAGAAGTGCAAATAATATTGGGTATCTGGAACTCTGGTAAATACAGGGGTTCCCAATTTACAAATGTCCAACTTACAACCCTGACAAGGGTTACGAACTTAAGAACTTACAAACACAATCTCATACAGGGCTGTAAATTTAAAAACCGGACATATGAACATTTCCTGTACTTATGAACAGTTTCTTTATGCTGTCCTGCACTGTGTTCCAATTTGTGTACAACTTGATTTGTGAACAGACTCCAGAACAGAGTCCATTTGCAGCTCAGGGAATGCCTACAACTGAACAAATGGGACATTACCTTGACCTTTGAGAACTAAGAACTGAAGAATCAACACAAAGTTCTGAGAGTTAGCAAATTCAATACTAAATTAAGTGCATAGAAATACAGATAGAAAGGAAAAGCGCTAACTATTTTAATGTTTGAAAAAAAACTCATTCTTGCCGTGTTGCCACATCTTTGTGAATATTCACTTCTTAGGTCAGCTAAGTTGATCGGCAACCATCTATAGCATGCTGTTAAAAACAGTATTGCTAATAATTACTACTTAACCTCATATGTTGAGCTTAAGGAACAGTGAATGAGCAAATGCAGCACCTTCATGAAACTCCTGGGTGGTTAAGAGTAAGCAGCTACTGTGACACGAAAGACATTTACACCACACAAGTGGCAAGCAATGACCATCTCCAAGAAGACAGAACCTAGCTATCTCCCCCCAATATTCAATGGCTTTACCATCACTGAAATTCTCCATCATCAACATTCTGGAGGCTAACCAGTGACCTGAGACTGAACTGGATCAGCCATATAGTGTGGCTACAGTAAATCAGAAACTGGTAATTCTGAAATGAAACAAAATTTGTTCACTATTTCCAAGGCATGTCGGGAGAATGGTGGAATACTTTCCACTTGCCTGGGTGAATGTAGTCCTAACATTCAAGTATAACATATCCAGGATAAAGCAGTTTGCTTGATTAGCACCCTATCCATCAACATAAGCATGCAATCTCTCCACCACCGGTGCAGTGACAGCTGTGTGCACCATCTATAAGAACCACTATAGCAACAGACCAAGGTTCCTCCATTAGCACCTTCCAAACTCATGATCTCTACCACCTAAAAAAGACTAAGGGCAGCAGAGGCTGCCACTTGTAAATGCCTTCCAAGTCACACAGCATCTTGACCTGGACCTCTATCCCCATTACTTCACTGTCACTGGGTTAAAATTCTGGAACCCCCTTCTGAATAGCACTGTGGGCGTACGTACACGAAGTGACTGGAGTGGTTCAAGAAAGCAGCTCACACGGCCTCTTAAAAGGCAATTTCTGATGTGCAACAAATGCAAGCCTTGCCACATCCCATGAAAGAATAACTGGTGGAATGACATAAATTGTCTAAACTGTAGCTATTAGTAATTTACAGGGTATTTCTCCCTTGTCACAATTTGCTTAAGAATGTGCACATTAAAAATGGCACTGTCATTCAGACACCATTATTACATCAGCAAATTCTGGGCCTTTATGCAGCTTTAAGAGATTTAACCATAAACTTTCTATCCTTGTACAAAATCTAGGATCCAGAACTTTATTCACAAACAAAAAAATTTTAAAGTGCTATGTATTTTGATTCAAGAAAATTTGTCATCTTTTGTTTTGAGCAGTAGAGAAACAAGCAACTTTTCAAATATTACCTGTATAAAAATACTGCATCGGTTGGAAAGATGTTCAGCAAACTTCTCTACACTCTGTACCTTGGACAAGATGGATTCCATTTTCATCATCCATGAGCTTACAAACAAATAATATGACTGCACATCTCTATAAGACAACATTTTACTTTAATTAGAAAGATTGGAAAGATTAAAGCTACAGAAATAAAAAACATATTCTCACTTTTGAGGCTTTTTTGTTCAACAGAATAATTATTCTCTTATAAACAATCCCAGTTAACGGTTCTTAATTTAACTTTCTAATTTATTTAGCTATTTTCCTTTCACAGAGAAACAGAAGGCCATTCAGCCCCTATGGATAGAATGACAGAAGAACAGGGCAGGGCCATTTAGCCCCTGAAATTCCATTTAATTAGATCATGACTGATTGCTACCTTAACTCCAGAGCTATATTGTTTCCATATCCCTTAAGATCAATTCATAACTAAGGAAAATCTAAGTATCAGTGTTAATACTTTCTATGGACCTCCAATCCCAGCAGATTTTTTGGAGGTGAGGGCTTAAGATTCCTACTGTTCTTTGTGTGAAGTGCTTTTTGACGTTGCCCCTGGACAACCTCACTCTAATCTTGATTTGCATCTCCTTGTTCTGGCCTCCTGAAGGAGACTTTGATCCTGTAATAATGATAATCTAGTGAATAGGAACATAGAAACATAGAAAATAGGTGTAGGAGTAGACCAATTGACCCTTTGAGCCTGCACCACCATTCAATATGCTCATGGTTGATCATGCAATTTCAGTATCCCACTCCCACTTTCTGTCCATACCCCTTGATCCCTTTAGCCGCAAGGGCCATGTCCAGCTCCCTCTTGAATATATCTAACAAACTGACCCCACGTGGTAGAGAATTCCACAGGCTTACATCTTGAGTGAAAAAAATACTTCCTCATCTCAGTCTGCCTAACCAGCAACACCCTGATCCCATGAATGAATAAAGAATAAAGTCCTGAATGGCTTACGCCTTATTCTTAGACTGTGCTCTGCAGAACCTGCTCTGCAGTCCCTATTCCCAAAGTCCACTGATCTTTTGTCAGATGCTGTGTAACTGGAGTGTTGTTTAAGTATCACTTCCATCCTTTTGCATTCCAATCCTCTCATAATAAAAGCCAACATTACATTAGTCTTTTATTTTTCTTTGCACCTGCCCATTGTTTAAATTATGTAACTTGCTAACTTGTGTGGTTGGGCCCTGAATCTTTTTACTTCATAAGAAAAGAACAAAGCAGATTCAGTTTGCCGCCAGCCAATAGGGATCCCAGCGGAGGGCTCTCTACATGCGAGTCCTCTCATTTTCCATTGAGGATCTGGGGTGGAGGGTGTGCCTTTGTAATGCAGATTGCAGTGGTTCACGGACTCCTAGTCCAACAGTTTACTTAGCGGTGCTATTGAGTCAATGGACCGTGTTTAGGCGATTGCAACCCCTTTTTGGTTAATTGAAATACCTTTTGCTGTGCTTTTGGTTGCGCTTCAGCCCTATATTCCTGATCTTTGGGTATTTGGTGCAGAGGTGTGAGAGCAGATCAGAGAACCTCCTCATTGCTCCTGGGCCTGGCCAGGTTGGCTACTAATAGCTCCAGGCAGCAAGCTATGGAAGTGGTCATATCTGCCAAGTGTCTACCCCTCTTCTGCAGTTAAGTTCAAGCCCAGGTGAGTCTAAGGAGGTAGCATGCGATGTCCATAATGCTTTCAACACCTTTACAGAGAAGTGGTCACTCTGGAGGACATAGTGCTTTATTTTCCCCTCCAACTCCATTTTGATTTAATCCCTTCCCTCTCTCCCTACCTTCCCCTCACATTTGATGGTTTGCAATGCCCATAATAGGCATTGCTTGTAAATATTTAATTGGTTACATTGGATTTGATTTATTGTAGTCACATGTACCTAAATACAGTGAAATACTTTCTTTTGCGAGCAGTACAGGCAAATCATAGCAAACGAGGACATACAGATCATAGGGTTCTTAGAGAAATTTTTACAATTTAGGTTTAAAAGTGCGAAAGGGTAAGAAGAAACATGACAATAAGATCTGCTGCAGACAGCTCACAAACAGTCATTCGATGTCAGCAACATCTTGTTTCATTTTGGTGATCATTAGAGGTTAAAAAAAGATTCAGCAGTGCTTTATTTCCCCCTCCAACTCTATTTTGATTTAGCCCCATCCCACATTCTCTACGCCTCCTTCACTTTTGGTGGTTCGTATTGCCCATAATGGGCTTTGTGCATGAATATTTAATTGGCTACAGGAGCGATTACTGGTGGAAGTCAGTGGTGTCTAAAAAAAAAAGTCACAATGATTTGGTGGTGGGAAAGTTGCTTAGTGGTGTGTGATAGCAATTCTGGTTTTAAGAAAAGATAAAGCAGACCCAGGAGCTGTTGTGGTCCAGTGGCAGTGACCCTCCTGTGGACCAGAAGGTCCAGGTTTAAGTCCTACATGCCCCAGGGATGTGTTATAACACGTCTGAACAGATTGACTTAAAAAATATAAAGCTGACCTGGAAGGATTCTTGTGGTGCAGGGGTACTGTTTCTACCTCTAACAGATTGATTAAAAAAGAAACCAAAAAAAAAAAAAGCAGAGCCACAATACTCTTAATGGCGTAATGGTGGTGCCCTACCTCTGCACCAGCAAGCCTGGGTTCAAGTTCCACTTGTCAAGAGGTGCGTAATAATATCTCTGAACAGGTTTATTTGACAATATATAAAGCAGACCCATGATGTTAGCTGAAATAGCTCAGCTGGGAAAGTATTAAGATGAAGATCTTTAGGTCCCTAGTTCAATCCTGCATTTAAGGGGTCTTATGGCACTGTGACAGTGTCCCTCTCTCTCAGCCAGGAAGCCTGAGTTCAAATCCCACCTGCTCCAGGGGTGCATCATAACATCTTTGAACAGGTTGATTAGAAAATATAAATAAAGCAGAACCAGGGACATTATCTGTCCCAGGCTGGGACTAGCCTATATACTCCACGAGTTGTGGCTCTATTTTGGTGTTCAACAATAAATGATGCTCACTTCCAGCTGGCCTTCCTAAGTTATTATACGAATCCATGGAAATTATTCCTAAATTCAGTTTTTTTTTTTAAATGACTATGGATTATGGGGTGGCACAGTGGTTAGCACTGCTGCCTCACAGCACCAGGGATTCCAGTTCAATTCCAGCCTCAGGCAACTGTTTGTGTGGAGTCTGCACTTTCTCCATGCGTCTGTGTGGGTTTCTGCCAGGTGCTCCAGTTTCCACCCAGAGTCCAAAGATATGCAAGTTAGGTGGATTGGCCATACTAAATTGTCCATAGTGATCAGGGGTGTGTAGGTTAGGTGCGTTAGCCACGGGAAATGTGGGGTTACAGGGTAAGGGTACTTGTATTCCTTCTTACAGCGTAAGAAACCACTATTTTTTAGGAGTAAGAAGTGAAATGGAAGTTGAATTGTTTTACAAATATCAAGGGCTTTGCAACTTGGAAAAATCAGGTGCTCCATATTTTTAGCTGCACTAGATGATACTTTGTGAAGTTGAGGGAGACAATTTGCAACTGAGTGACATGCAGTTTTTCAACCAAGGAAATTCTGCCTGAGAACAGCCCTCTGATTGTCACAAACTGCAATTCAAACAAAGCTATAACCGCAAGGAGAGCAGAAACATGTATAACCTGCAAAATGAAAGCACTCCTCTCTCTCCTCTCACATCAGGGGAAAATGAGAGAAAAATCAAAAAAAGCGTACAGGAAAGAATTCTAATAACAGACTTAGGTTCACTAGATCAACTATCAAAGTGAAAGAATACCATTGCTTTACAGTCAACAGCATGTCATTATGTCTAAAAATCAACAGGAGTTGTGTGAAACAATTTAATCCACCCTTGAGATCTAGACATTTGATCTTCACAACTTTGTTTACCATATCTACATCCTCTTTCTACCCAAAACTTGTCAAATTTCCTCTCTTCTGTCTGTCTTAATTGTGAATGAGTGTGTGCGTGCGCATGTGTTCGTGGATTTGGGGTTAAAAATTGCAGGACCCAAGGCTTATAAGAATACAAGCTGTGGAAAGTGTTAATCAGACAACTTTAAGTCCTGAAAAAACAATGCAGGGTCAAAGTTCTTCTGGTTGAAGCAACTGGTTAGTCTTGCAGCTTGATCTGTGAATAACTGAATTTTCTAAGTGTGTTTGATGCAACTTTTATTTGAATGGCAATGCAAGTGGGGTAAAAGGGACTAACATGATGCTGAAAGATCTTTGGTTAGAATGCATTTGGCAGCATTTGCCAGATGACTGAAAGTCACTTACCTTCATTTTTTTGCCTTATAAAAAGTGGGTGACTATGGAGATTAGATATCTCACATGTCAAGTTGCAAGTCAAAATCAGTTTTATATAACCATAGACGTTTACTCCCCGAGGGATGTCTCATCACTTTCTCCCTACTCACTATACTGACTCCATCAGAGCCCTTTTAATTTTCTTAAATAACTATTATATTTTCTCTTTCAATGGAAATAAGCTCAGTCTCTTTTCATGATCACATCTTCCGTCCTTGGAATTATCCTGGTGAATCTAAGCAATATGTTCTCACCAAAAGAGCATCTGAAACAAACATTACACAAAAAGCAGTGATTCACAAATAGAAACTTACTTAGAGAGAGTTTGGGCCTTTTGTTGTAGAAATGTTTCTCTCTGACTTTTAATAGATTGTAAATTCTTTTTCTCTACAATCTTCGCAGCTGGTGCCATTTTGTCCAGCAAAAACTGATCAGCAAACCAAATAATATTGGCAGTGAGGGTGATGGCAGGTACCTGCAATGAGTTTAATAAGTCAACCAATACCCAGGATTCAACACGAGTGGATGAAAAAATGTTGATTGAAATATCCCACAGGCAAACATTACTTACCTTCTTGCAAACATCCATTAAAGATTTGTACAGTTTTTTATCTAATGTTCTGAAAATCTGGAAGTGCAACACAAATAGTGTACAAACCCCAACATATTTATCTCGCTGGTCAATTTCAGAAGGCTCCCCTGTGCAAAAATGAAGGGCAATTAAAAGTTTCAGGGAATGATACAATCATTCCAAGATGCAATCTTGTAAAACTGTCAGTGACCCAAGATTAAATGCATGTTAAATTTCATTCTTAAACTGAACAAATTTCATCCAGAATATTGTTTGTTGGAAGTCAAATCGTGGATTTCACTTCAGGAATGCAAATTAAACGTCACAAGGTAGCATGATTCAACAAACGCAATATCACATGATCTTAAGCAATCGTCACAATCAGAGGCATAAACATTTAGGCTCGCTAGACCCTTTCAGTAACACTTGTCAGATAAATTGCAGAGATTTTCTTTTTAAAAGTCAGATTCAGCCACTTGCAGTGTCAGAATGAAACAACAGCATACATTTACAAAGTACCTTAAATATAGCAAGATGCCCCAAGGCATTTCAATGAACAATATAAAGAAAATTTTGATAGCCAGCCACATATTAAAATGGGTGACCAACAGCATGTATTTTAAGGAAGATTTGAAAGGAGAAGCAATTGCAAGATTTGAAAATAAGGTAAGAGTTTTATAATTGAGTTGGTTTCAAGGTTCACAGACAGCAAGGAATATGCCTGGTCAGAGCAGCATCAGAATCATACATTTCAAGATATAGTTGCACCACAAGCAGACAGAATTCAGGACAGAAGATGGAATGCAGCATTTTGAAGAATAGGAAGTGGAAAGAATCACAGCAGTCGTGAGGCTAAGTTCCACCAGCAAACTGATTTTCATCTTTGAAGACTGCTAGAGTGAGAAATGCATTGAAGGGGAGCAACACAGAACATGGTACAAATGCATAAGGCAAAGAACAACAAAATGTAAAACTTTAGTCATTACAGGGTATTGAACAGTTGGGGCCAGGCAAGTATTTCTTTAATGTCAACATGAGATATTGCACATGCATTATCGTCCTGGCACCTATAGAGCATTATGGGAGGGGTGAAAAATATTCTGCAGAAGAAAGTAGTAAACCTGACACTATGGTACCAACACAGTGGTATCAGCTTTTTACAGCTTGTGAGAAAATTAATTAGAAGGACCTCAAAGGTGATAATCTCTGGTGCATGCAGGCTAGATTAGAAAAAAGATAGAAGGTCATTAGCTGGCTGGCTGAGGGTATGGTGCAGGACGGAGGATGTCAGATTCTTGGAGCATTGGGACCAATACATGGGCAGGAGGCATCAACTTAAATGAAACAGGTTGCATCTCAAAAGGATAGGGAGTAAAGTCCTCACAGGGAAATTCACTTCTTTGCTTGCATAAGGCTAAATTGAACTAGTAGGTGGTGGAAACCAGCATAAAAGCAGAAATGAGGAATAACATGGATTTAAAAAAAGGGAGATTACTGGAAAAGATAGCAGTTCAATATTAGATAGAAGTGGCTTAAGGAGGACAACATGGAACACAGAGATTTAGAATCCATGTATGTGATGCACAAAGTTAGGTAAATAATAATAATGTAGCAGAAAACTGCTGTGTGAGAATACAATATAGGACAAGAAATAAAAAAAATGGTGTAAAAATGAAGAAGATGGGCACTTAATATTCAGAGACAAAAGCATTCAGAACATAGTCTGTGGTAGGGGAAACTACAGGATAAAATTCTGAAACAGTGAATTAATACCTATCGAGTCCTAGAGTCAAAGATATACAATATGGAAACAGATCCTTTGGTCCAACTCGTCCATGCCTACCAGATATCCTAAATACATCTAGTCCCATTTTCCAGCATTTGGGCCATATCCCTCTCAACCCTTCCTATTGATATATCAATCCAGATGCCTTCCAAATGTTGAAATGGTACTAGCCTCCACCACTTCTTCTGGCAGCTCATTCCATACACGCACCACCCTCTGCGTCAAAAAGTTGCTTCTTAGACCTCTTTTAAATCTTTCCCCTCTCACCTTAAATCCTATGGCCTCTCATTTTGGAATTCCACTCTAGAGGGAAAAGACCTTGTCTATTTACCCTATCCATGCCCATGATTTTATAAACTTCTATAAACCTCAGCCTCCGACACTTCAGGGAAAATAGCCCCAGCTAATTCAGCTTCTCCCTATAGCTCAAACCCTCCAACCCTGGCAACATCCTTGCAAATCTTTTCTGAACCCTTTCAAGTTCCACAACATCCTTCGTGTAGCAGGGAGACCAGAAATGCGTGCAGTATTCCAATAGTGGCCTAACCAACGTCCTGTACAGATGCAACATGACCTCCGAGGTCTGTTTGTTCAGCAACACTTCCCAGGAATTTACCATTAAATGTACAAGTCTTGCTCTGTTTTGCCTTTCCAAAATGCAGCATCTCACATTTATCTAAATTAAACTCCATCTACCACTCCTCGGCCTATTGGCCCATCTGATCAAGGTCCCGTTGTACTCTGAGGTAACCATCTTCAGTGTCCACTACACCTCCAATTTTGGTGTAATCTACAAACTTACTAACCATATCTCCTACGCTCACGTCCAAATCATTTATATAAATGACAAAAAGCAGTGGACTCAACAACGATCCTTGAGGCATACCGCTGGTCACAGGCCTCCAATCTGAAAAGTAACCTTCCACCACCACCCTCTGTCTCCTACCTTCAAGCTAGTTCTGTATCCAAATAGCACTGGAACGGCATGGGTTAATGAGGGATAGTCAGCATGGTTTTGACGGGGGGAGGTGTTGGTGGGGTAGTGTTAAGCAAATTTGCAGATGACATTAAGATTAGTAGACTGGTTAAGAGCAAAGAAGATGGTTGCAGGTTACAGGAAGACATGGACGTGTTGGTCACTTGGACAAACCAGTGGCAGGTGGTATTTAACCCTGATAAGTGTGAGGTGATGCACTTTGGAAGAAGGAACAAGATTAGGGAGTATTTAATGAATGGCAGGACACTGGGTAACGTCGAGAAACTGAGGGATCTTGAGGTAACTATTCACAGACCCCTGAAGTCAGTAGAGTATATGAATAGAATAATTAAGGAGGTATATGGAATACATGCTTTCATCGGTCGTGGCATTGAGTATAAGAGCAAGGAGGTAATGTTGGAGTTGCAGAGTGTTGGCCAGGCCACAGCTGGAGTACTGTGTGCAGTTCTGATCACTTCACTACAGGAACGATGTGATAGCACTGGAGGGGGTACAGAGGCGGTTCACCAGGATGTTGCCTTGAATGGGGATATTAGTTATTACGAGAGCCTAGATAGGCTTGTATTGTTTTCTCTAGAGCAGAGAAAAATGAGGCAGGGACCATTGAGGTGTACAAAATCATGATGGGTATGGACAAGGTAAATAGAGAATAGTTGTGCCCTATGGTTGAGGAATCAAATCACAACAGGGCATAATTTTAGATTCAGAGGGGATTTGGGAAAAAAAACTCTCTCACTCAGCGGTTGGTGGGAATCTGGAATGCATTGCTTTGGAAGGGTAGCAGAGTCTGGAAACATTACAACCTTTAAAAACTTTTTGCATGAGCACTTCAAATATCATAACATTCAAGGATATGAGACTAGTGCAGGAAATTGGGATTAATGCACTTTCAGTAGTAGTTTTGTTGGTGCAGACTCAATGGTCCTTTTCCGCACTGTATGAAATAATGAATAGTGTGGGTGAAAGGAATTGGGAGGGTTTGGTTAGGGAAGACACTATTATTGGAAAGACAGAACGACCTTGAGGGGACTAGGTCAGAATCAATTAAATAAGAGTTGTGAGCAAAAAGGGTATGACCAGATTACTGGGGCCTAGAAGGCTAAAGAAAGTGACACAGGCTTAGAGGTATAGAACAAGGTTAATATAATTATGAGTGCTTTCATAAGCAGGAAGAGGGTGCTGATAAAATACTTCTGGAAGCACAGCAAGCAAAACTACTGGATGGAGTACTATTAAATAGCAATGAAATGATACAACATACTGGAAAGACTGGCAATGCTCATGAACATTTGAATCAGGACTCAGCCATTCAGCACTTCAAGCCTGCTCTGCTATCCAATATGATCACAACTGATCTGTCTGTTATCTCAAAACTCCATTCTCGCCTACACTTGATAATCTTTCACTCCTGTACTAAACAATTTCTTCTCCCTTAAAAATATTCAAACGTGCTGCTTCCACATAGTTTCAGGAAGAGTTCCAAAGACTCATGACCCTCAGGAAAAAGAAAACTTTTCATTTTTAAAGAGTGGCCCTTAGTTCTAGATTTTCCCATAAGAAAAAACATTCTCTCCACATGTCCTACCCTGTCAGGACCCCTCAGGGTCATACATATTTCAATCAGTTCGTCTCTTACTCACTCTCCAAAGCTCCAGCAGATACAAGGAAAGCCTGCCTAACCTTTCCTCAAAAGACAATCTACCTGTTTCGGGTATTAGACTAGTAAACCTTCTCTGAACTGCTAAAACATTTAAAAACAAAGAACTGTGAATGCTGTGTATCAGGAACAGGAACAAAAACAAAAACAAAGTTGCTGAAAAAGCTCAGCAGGTCTGACAGCATCCGTGAAGGAAAAAAAAAGAGTTAGCGTTTCAGGACCCGAAACGTTAACTCTGCTTTTTTCCCCTTCACAGATGCTGCCAGACTTGCCAAAATGTTTACATTCCGTCAGAAACCAGGTTACCAACACTGTGCACACCTCCCAATTTAGTATTCAATTCCCCTCAATAAAGAACATTGTTAGCTTTCTTAATTACTTGCTGTACCTGCTAAATAATCTATTGCTATTCATGCATGAGGACATAGAGATCCCCTTACATCACCTAACCATTTTGATATGCTTTTCTATTCTTCCTGTCAACACAGATAATTTTACATTTTCCTTCAATCTACTCCATTTGCCACATCTTTGCATACTCACTTAACCGGTGTCTTTTGTGTCCCACAGATCTGTCTCATCAGCAAATTTGACAACCATACTTTCTGTCCCTTCATCTCAGTCATTTACATAAATTGTAACAGTTGAGGTATCAGCACTGATCACAGTGTGCAGACCATGTATTACATTTTGCCAACCTGAAAAAGATCCATTTATGTCTATTCAGCTGTTAGTCAATCAGTCTTCTATCTGTGCCACTATGCTACCTCCTTGCATCTCTCATTCTTCTAAACCGTAGAGAATACAGACTCAATCTACTCAAAGTCACCATCCCAGGAATTAGTCTGGTGAACCTCCGCTGCACTCCCTATTTGCTAAGTATATCGTTCCTTGACTAAGGAGTCCAAAACTGTACACAATACTCCAGTGCCATCTGATGAAGGGTGTATATAAAAGACATCTTTATTCTGTACTCAAATTTCCTTGCGATAAAAGCCAACATACCATTTGCCATCCTAATAACTTGCTATACCTGCATGCTAACTTGCACCGATTCATGAACAAGAACACCTAGTTCCCTTTGGATATCAACTTTCCAATCTCTCACTATTTAAGAAATGCTATATATTATTTCGGTTATTATTACTAAAGTGGAAACTGCACATTTCACGGTTCCTCCATAATATATTCAATGTGCCATGCTCTTCCTCACTCACTCAATTGGTCCAAAACCACTTGAATCTCTTTTGCATCATCCTCACATTATAGCTATATCACAGTTCTGAACAGTCATATTAGACTTGAAACATTAAACCTGTGCCTCTCTCTACAGTTATTGCTTGACCTGTTGAGTTTCTCAAGCACTTTGTTTAAATATTGAAAATATTATAATTGATCCCAGTTCCAAATTATTAATATGCAAATTATGTTTGTGTATGGCTGGAACTTAAGAACTAGTCCTTGCTGCACCCCATTAGTCATAGCCTACCAGCACACGAATGACATTTATTCCTGCTCATTTTTCTTTAACTACTGAGTGGTTTGCTAGGCTACTTCAAAAGACAGTTAAGAGTCAACCACATTACTGTGGCTCTAGAGTAACATGTATGCCACACCAGTTAAAGATGATAAATTTTGTTCCCTAAAGGATACTGTTGCACAAGTACCCAATTTCATGATTTGTTCTGTGTGTTACATTACGAAACTGTTCAGCATCCTATAACCAGAGCCCACCAAGGTTTGCTGCTCCTTGCTGTTTCTTAATTCCTTCCAAACTGATTCAACATGTTGATGTTCCAATCCAAAATCATCTGTCACATGTACCAAACGCATTCATTATTAACAGCACTATCCCATCTCCTTTTCATCTTTGCCTGACCTCACTAACACCAACTCACCTGCCACATTGTGAATGCTGTATTTGGATACGGGGTACCTTTGAAACAGTATTCCATATTTTGAGTCTATTTGATACTGGCATTTGTTTGCACTGCTTTCCAAGTTCTGTTACTACTTCTCTTCCTACTTTAATCAATTTTGTTTCTATTTGAAATGCCCCTCAGTTTCCGATTCCCCTGGCAAGATAATCAAACCTTGAGGAGGCCCCCAGCTGCCCTATTGTCCCAATGCCTCAGAAACCTAAAGCTATTCCTCCTGCACCACTTCTTCAGCCACATGTTCATTTCTATTATTTCCCCCTAAATCTGTGCTTACTCGCACATAACACTGAAAAGCCGGACTTCAAAGGCAATCAATTTTTTAGCACTCTAAAAATCTGCTAATTGGACTCCAGCTGCTAACTATTCACCCTCTCTTCCTCACTCCCTCATCCATCCCCAAAAAGGATGCTATGCAACCACTTAGTGAAATCCAAGACCCTGGCACCAAGGACGCACACAAACACTCATCTGTTCCCTTAATGTTGCATCCATAACCTATGTCACTCGTGCATTATTTTTTCCATGAGAAATGGCAGTTAACCGGCTTGGAGCAATGACGATCGAAGGAGAGTTGTAAAAGATGTGAGGTTTGTACAAGGTGGATAAGAAAAACTTCTATCAACTGACGATACAAAAACTAGAGAATAAAGATTTAATGTTCAGGCAACGTTTTTGGGGGAATGCAACGGAGATTCTTTGAGTGAAATGGCGATTAATGATTTCAAGAAATGAAAAGGTTACTCAGAGCTATGGGGACGGAACAGGGAATGGGACCAACTTCTTCACAAAAAACTAGCTTCGGCTCAATAAGCTGAACAAACTCTTTCTGCACCATAATGACTGACTGAGGATTTCAGCAGTTGCACTGAATTTAGTTCTAAGACAACTGATGTTATGGAGGTGAAAGGAGGCAATCTTAGTGATGAACGAAGTGAGGTTAGAACATCTGCTCATGGTCAAATGGGACACCATGGTCATGAATGGTCTGGTTCAGCTTCAGACTGTGACCAGGAGAGGAACAGAATTGGTGGCTCAGTTATATTTTCAAGAAAACCAGAAGTTCATCCAAATCTTACCAAGCTTGGATTCTGCGTTGGTGAAAATAGTGCGAATATTGTGGGCAAACTCTTCTGCAAAAGTGCTATTCTTTGAGACAGAGGTTGGTTCATTCCTTGTGTCAAACTGCTGCTCAACACAGGCCTATGAAATAAACAAAGTTAATATCTCCTCTTTTTAAGCCAATGAGTTAATACCAAGTGGCTATGAGGACGTCATCACACAGACAAAAGCTACAACATACTGCTTCAGAATATTAAGTTAGAGACTATGACTGCATACAGGCAATTTAATTAGCGGTAAACTGAAACTGATTTTTGTTAGTAAAGTACTTCAGTGATTCTGCCATGGCAACCAGTTAGATATAAAGATACCCTAACCTGAAAAATCATTCCATCGAGTAACTGCCCCTCCAGCTTTAACAGCAATTTCTCAAACGGTTTCAGCTTTTCCTCAGCAATTCCAAATTTTGATGGATTGTGGTGGACAGATTTCAACAACCTAAAAATCAAAAATGAAGCTGTAAGTGTTGTAAAATGAAACATTGCAATTAACCTATACACCAACCCTCTCATCACCTCCCTCTCCTGAACCATCACTGTTAGCAGAGGAACCAAGTGCGGGAACAAGAGGGCCGTGGCGGCGTGGTGGTGGTGGTGGAGAGCTGGAGAGCTGGAGGAAGGCCATGAGCAGGGCACAAGAGAAACAAATGCTTTTGGATCTAGGAATTGTTATGAATGAATTTCAGCTGTTAGTTCCACCTGATGGTCTTGTCAGCCTGGGTGGTGTCCAGTAAATTAATGTGATGAGGAAATCGACCAGTTGCTTGTTCATGGGCTAGAGTGGCAGTAAACCTCTTTACAATTAAGATTGTGCAACTGTAAAAATTAAGCGCACTTGATGCACTATTACACAATCGTGCAAGCACACAGCTCAGAGGAAACACTGCTTCCCAGCTATGGCAGGAGGAAGACAGTACCACGCAATTGTAAAGGAAGTGAAATAAAAACAAAGTGCTGGAGAAAAATTAAGCCTGGCAGTACCTGTAAAGAGACAAATAGTTAACATTTCAAGTGCAGCGACCTTTGGAATATTAATATTATTTTTCTCTTCGTGGTTACTGCCAGACCTGCTGAGTTTCTCAAGCACTTTTAGTTTTTGTTTCAGATTTCCAACAAACACAGTGCTTTGTTTTATTATTATAGCGAAAGTGGTCTGGCTGACTCGTCTTCACATTTTTTCGCCTTGTGGAAACATCCTGCTTGTTCTGCAGGCCCTCCTCACAAGGCTGTTCAAGATGAGAATTACAACATGCATAGAATCAGATCCAGACTATGTCCTTTTACGAAGCATGCTAAATTAATAGAGCAATATAATCTGCCATTGAGCCACATGGATTATAAACTAGTAAAATAATTTGTATCTTGTTTCATCCTCCACATTGCTAACCTTTTGTACATGATCCAGTGGTCCTTCAAGGTAACATGATTCCCGATTATTTCATCCAAAATGAGGAGAACAGCCAGCAGTTCTCCAAGATGCTCATATACAATCTGTAACGGTGTGAATTTACATAGTTTACAGCACTGATGCACAAACATCTCTGCATTTAAATAAACAGCTTAAAACTTAAATCTTTCACACACCTTTCAAAGCCACCTCCCAGTCAAGCTATTTCAGTATAGCTACAACACTGCTATCCACCCGACAATATGACAATGTCTAGCTATGTCTTCTTCATGAAAGCATAAATTCATTCCAGCCAATTATCACCTCTTCAGCCTACATGCAATCATGGTGAAAGTGATTGAAAGTGTCATTGACAACGCTGTGAATCTGCTCACCAAAGTTTGATTTGGCCTCTCTCAGAACTATCCAGCTCCAGATTTCATTGTCACCTTGATTCAAACATGGAGAGAACAACTGAATTCTAGAGGTCTGGTAGGAGTGACTGCTCTTAACATCAAGGGAGAAATTGATTGAAAGGGGCATCAAAGAACTTGAGAAAAAAATTGAAGTCAATGGTAATCAAGGGAAAAATTCTCTTAGTTGGGGTCATACATGCCATTAAGATAAACCAGAGATTTTGGAAGCCAGTTGGCTCAGCCAAAGAAGACCCTGATGGAGTTCCTCAAGGCAGACATTTTCTAATTAACCTCTTCAGAAATGTTATTACACAACTATGGAGCAGGTAGGACTTGAAATCCAGGCCTCCAGGCTCAGAAGTGGGAATACAACAACTGAGCCACACGAGCCCTAGTGTCTCAGGGTAGTGTCCTGGGCCCAAACATCTTCAGCTGCTTCAATGACCTTCTTTTCATCATGAAATTGAAAGTGGGGACATTCACTAATGACTGAATAGTGCTCAATATCATTTATTACTCAGATACTCTAGCCCACATGCAACAAAACCGGGGCAATACTCAGGCTTGGATTGATAAATAGTAAGTAACATTCAATCAAATAAGAGTAAGGCAACTATCATTTCCAATGAGTGAATGAATGATTGAATGCTTTTATTGTCACACATATCAAGGAAGATACAGTGAAAATTGTTTTATCACCACAATCAAGTGCTATTTTGAATTACAAAAAGAATAAAAAGAAACTATTTATAAAGAGTTCATCTTCTGTTCAAGAAGAGTCTCAAGGACAGCTCCAGGGCCTCCAAGATTTCTGCAAGGTGCTCCGGGCTGTTTAGGTTAGCAATAGCTTTGATTATAGTTTAATCCAACTCACCTGGAAATGAACTCCAGTTGTTTCCATGACCTTTGGGGCATTCCTAAAGGGAAAAAAAAGAACTTTAGTGACATGGGAGATTCAAATCCGTGTGAATGTAAACACCATAATGAACAACTCTAAGAAATATTGTGAAAAACAGGACTTAAGCTAGCATATGTAAAAAAAAAAGAGGCAGAGCTCACAGACTGAATGCACTGAAGGCTGTAAGGAGCTGCTCCTTAGTGACAGCGGAACACCACATAGGCCTAACACAGAGATGACAACACAGAGTCAGAGTTATATGGCATGAAAACAAGCCCTTCGGCCCAAAATGGTCCATGCTGACCATGGTGCCCACTCAGCTAGTTCCAACTGCCCGCATTTGGTCCATATTCTTCTAAACCCTTCTCATCCATGTACCTATCTAAATGTTTTTTAAATGTTGCAATTGTACATGAGTGTAAGATAATGCTTGAAATGACGAGAAACAAGCAGCTCAGGGTCATGCCTGCAGACTGGGCAAACGTATTCCTCAGCAAAGGACCTGAGCAAAGGTCTCTACATTTGGGATCAGCAAATAAAGCAAACTAAACTGAAAGAGGTACAATTAAATTTACGCTTCACTTGGAGGGAGTGCTTGGGCAGGAGTTAAAAAGTCAGGGTTGCATTTCCTGAGAGTGCTTAACAAGGTGCCCTGAGAAGGCAACAGGGCACTGGGGATGATGGAGCATTGGACAAGAGTATTATGGAAGGCACTGTTGCTTTGGGATTCTCAAACAGCAGAAGAGGAGGAACAAGTATTTGGACGTTGCATTATACGGGGTGAGGCAGAAGACACCTTTTGAATGTGGAGGTTGGAGACATGCTATGTAAGGTCAAAAGAAACTCGGTCATGGTCCTGGGAGGAAGGAGAAGGGGTGAAATCAGAAGTGCAGGAAATGGACCAAATACTGTTGAGAGCCCTGTCAAACTGAGTGCTGGGGTCAATCCTTGGTTGAGGGAAAAGAAAGACACATCAGAAGCAATGTTAAGGAAAGCAGCATCAGAACAAGTGTGACAGAAAAACTGGGAGAGGCAGGGTGTTCAGCAGGTGTAGTTGAGGTAGACAGTGTGTTGACGATCTTACAATGAATATTACCAGGCAGCCCAGAAGTTGAGGTTTGGAGATGTAACATGTGAAACAGAGAGAAGGATGAAAATTAGAAACAAAGTTAAAGTAGTTTTCCAGCTCCAGAGGACAGCAGGAAACAGCATAGTCACCAGTGTACCAGAAGAAAGTTGTGGCAGGGGAATCTCCTCACACCAAGTAGCACTGGAACAAGCGATGTTCCATATGTCTTTCCATATGCCCGACACAAAGACGGGCATAATCAGGACCCAGCCTCCACATTCAAAAGATAATATTTTGCCTTCCCTGAGCATGATGCAACGTCCAAATGCTTATTCCTCCTCCCCTGTCCTTTGAGAATTCTGAAACAACAGTTCCTTCCATTATTAGTGAATAGGTTCAGCCAGGCATAAGAGGGTGGTGATGAATCGGGATCATGTCTGCTTTGACGTACCACAGGGATCAGTGGTGGATTCCTTATTGTTTCTGATATTCATAAATGATGTAAGTGAAAATGTTGGGACAGGGAGGGATATGAATAAGCCTGTGGATGACACCAGGTGTGGTCAGGTGGTTGACAGTGAGGAGGAAGGTGCTACGTTGCAAGAGTATATAAGCAATTGGTCAGACAGGAGAATCAGTGGCAGATGGAATTTAACTCTGATTGTGGTGAAGTGATGCACTTTGGAAGAAGAAACAAGATAAGGAAGTATTCAATGAATGGCAAGACGCAAGGAAGCTTAGAGAAACATAGGGATCTTGGGTGCTTACCGACAGATTTCTGAAGGTGGCAGAAAAAGTTAATAGTGTAGTTAAGGCAGCACACATACTTGCCTTTGTCAGTTGTGGCACAGATTATATGAGCAGGGAGGTCACATTGGAGCTGTACAGAATTTTGGTTAGGCCACAGCTGGAATATAGAGGGCAGCTGTGGTCAGCACGCTGTAGGAAAGATGTGATTGCACTGGAGATTCACCAGGATGCTGCCCGAGATGCAGCATTTCAGCTATGGACAGGTTAGGTTATTTTCTTTGAAGCTAAGAAGGTTAAGGTGGGACCTGATAGAGGTGTATTAGATTACAATGTGGCAGATGGAGTTTAATTAGATAAATGTGAGGTTTTTGCATTTTGGTAAGGCAAATCAGGGCAGGACTTATGTAGTTAATGGTAAGGTGCTGAGGATTGTTGTCGAACAAAGAGACCTTGGAGTGCAGGCTCATAGTTCCTTGAAGGTGGAGTCACAGGTAGTCAGGGTAGTAGAGACGACATTTGGTACACTTGCCTTTTTTTTGGTCAGTGCATTGATTATAGGAGTTGGGATGTCATGTACAGGACATGGGCTAGGCCACTGTTGGAATACCGGATTCAAACTGGTCTCCCTGCTATAGGAAAGATGTCGTTAAACTTGAAAAGCTGCAAAAAACATTTACGAGGATGTTGCCAGGGTTGGAGGGTTTGAGCTGTAGGGAGAGGCTGAACAGGCTGAGGCTATTTTCACCATGAAGCATCAACAGCTGATACAGTAGTTTATAAAATCAGATGGGGCATAGATAGGGTGAAAAGCTAAGGTCTTTTCCCAAGGAAAGGGTGACCAAAATAAGACAGCACAGGTTTAAGGTGAGGGGGGCAAAGATTTAAAAAGGACCCAAGAGGAAACTTTTTCACACAGAGGGTGGTGTGTGTATGGAATTAGCTGCCAGAGGTGGTGGTGGAGCCTGCTCCAATAACAACATTTAAAAGTCAGAAGTTACTAAACACCAGGTTGTAGTCCAACAGGTTTACCTAAAATTACAAACTTTCAGAGCACTGCTCCATCATCAGGTGAAGTGGAGGGAGCACACAGGCACGGGATATATAGGCACACAGATAATGGCAAGATAATTCCAAGTAATTAAAAGTGTCAACAGATAAGCACAAATAGTGTGGGAGTGTAGTGTCAACAAGCTGGATAACAAGTCTTTGCAGGTGGTCAAAAGTGCCAAATAGTGCAAGTGACAGCTGAATAGCAAGTAAAGGGATGAACTATGAACTGATTAATTAAGGCAGAGAGATAATTACAAAAATAACTTGGTGCTAGAGACAAACCAAATGGCTGGAATAACACAACAGGTAGCAGAGTCATGTGATGAGGATCTAACCAAAGTAATAAGTAATCCAAAACTATACAAACTAATTAAGGTAGAGAAATAATAAGTTATCAAAGTCATGGTGTCAAAACAGGACAGTATGATGGGGTTACATGTAGTGTGACATGAACCCAAGAAAACGGTTGAGGTCGCCCTCACGGATACGGAACTTGGCTCAGTTTTTGCTCGGCGAACCTGCATTGTTCTGTATCTTGAAGGCTGCCTTAGAGGATGCTTATCCGAAGATCAAAGGCTGAATGTCCTTGATCACTGAAGTGTTCCCTGCCTGGGAAGGAACAGTCCTGCTTTGCAATTGTTGCATAGCATTCTTTTATTCCTTCTCTTGTTATTCAGCTGTTTATTCACGCTGTTTGACACTTCTGATCACTTGCAAAGACTTGTTATTCAGTCCCCAAACTCCACTCACACTATTTGTACTTATCTGTTGACACTCTTAATTATCTGGAATTATCTTGCCCATATCTCTCTGCCTGTATATTCTGTGGTAGCTGTGATGTGGACTGCCAGTGTTGCAATATGGTAGACAAGATCAGAAGAAGTCACACAACACCTGGTTATAGCCAACAGGGTTATTTGAAATCACAAGCTTTCTGAGCGCTGCACCTTTGTCAGGTGGAGTGCTTCAAGTGAAACAGGCAGGACGAACACAGACACCTCTTGAATTTTTAAAAGGCATCGGGATGGGTACACGAATAGGGAGGGTTTAAGAGGGATATGGGCCAAAGATCCGATCGGCATGGACGTGTTGGACCAAAGCGTCTATTTCCATGTTGTACAACTCTATGACTCCAAATGGGTACTGCCAAAATGACATAAAACAGGGAGTCACTAACGTAGGTGGAAAAAGACTGGACAAGGATAGAAAAATAAGAGTTCAGATATGAAGAAATAAGTACATTGAGACAGGAACAGGATGAAGTGATACGTTTACCAAGTCTGTTCCATTTGAGGATTTTGGGAAAGAGGCAGAAATGGGCTAAACAGGATTGTAAATTGGGAAGTTTGAGGTAAACTCCATAGCGGAGAGGAGGCCAGTGACAGTCCTGAAAATGAGAGACAACAAGGTGCAGGGCTGGATGAACACAGCAGGCCAAGCAGCATCTCCTGAAAATGATGGCTTGATATATGGTGGTGGGGTCATAATTCAGGTTCAACTTCATTACAAAGAGTGGGTAACATATTTAAAACACAAAGTGTACCCAACTTTCTTCACTCATTGAGTTTAAGTGCATTATGCAATTGAAAAAGAGAGCTTACTTACTTATTACTAGTGTAGAGTGAAGCGAGCTGTTGAACAATATTCATTACAACTTCGTAACATCTTGTAACAAAACAAGATAACTCCTAAAAGCAAAAACAACTGCATTCAGACATTTCTTCAAACTGTCCTGCTCAAAATTTGAGACAATTTTTGGAAAGCAAAGTTACTCAGGGCGATAAATTATCTGAAGCCCTGCAAGAGCCCCCAGGCCAGTCCGACTGCTATAACTTCATCAGTGCAATGAACTACAGCAGCTTTCCTCTCAATTAGCATATTGCGACTTGGTGCAACATTTCACGCTCTGTTCAGCAATGGAGCAGCTGAAAAGA